GATGTCATGGCTCTGCTCCCCTCCTGCTCCCTTTGCTCCTCCCCCTTCCCTGTGTGTCTGAGGGTGCGGCCTCCATTCTCCTCACCTGCTGCCTGCTGTCTCACCTGCTCTCAATCATTCATCATGCCTCAGTCTTCAAGAACCCCGGTCTTCCTCCCATTCATCGCCAGATTGTTTCAGCCTATGTGGTGGTAACTCTTGTGGCTCTTCCCAGTATTAAGGTAGGCAACTTCAAGCCCTCTTGTGTTTTCCCTGTGCCTGTCCCCTTGTCTAACTGTTTCTCTCCCGTGCCCCAGGGTCCCTTTGTGCAGTTTGGCTTCCTGTGTCCGCTCACCTGTGCCTCTGTGTCTCCGGTCTCTTCCGCCATCAGTGTTATTTATTATATCAGTAGCTTTGTGATATAATTGTTATACTGGAGTGTAGAAACATATTGTACAAGTTAAAGATCAGTGAATGTGAAATGACATACAAAACAAATACAGAAGTTGTCACATCACTACTTTTACATTCTGTATTATGTTTCTTTCTCTGATCCTTAAATGTAAAAAAAACAACATGTTTCTTACTTTTCATGCATTACAGAACTGTGTGAAATTACTACACTGTATTTTGTGACAGATAACTGTCTGAATCTAGAATCAAAAGACATTTTATCTATAAACCTCCATCACCTCTGGGTTTACTGCTGAATATAGTGACTAACACCTGGAACCAGTTGAATCCAAACCCTATCAAAAATGTTTCATGACTCTGTGTCTGATGTGTCCTGACCACTAACAAATGTGTATAAAGACCAATGTAGGCAGCCTGTCTGTTAATTCACATGTATCACCAGTGTGTGCTGTCTCACAGTAATAACACACCTTTTTACAGACAACATCATCATGTGACAGGATGGAGGACGAGATGCTGTTATCAGCTTTGTTGAACTCATCACTGTAACTGTGATTTGTCTGATCAGCAGATTAAAATGATCTGATCTTCACTGTGTCCCTGTTCAGAGCTACAGGTATTACACTTTTACACTTACTGTGATGCAAGTTGTCAAGTTGCACAAAAACACAAACACGAGAAGAAAGAGCTGATTGTTGAGTCTCATGATCATCAAATACTGACACTGGGAATGAAACTCAACAACCAACTATCTTCAAACCACCAACCCACAGTGTCCATCTCTCTTGGCTCTGTCTGGTGGATTCTTGTTAATTCCATTAGTAGCACTAGAAGGAGCCATAGGTGTCACGGCCCATCGGCCGTGATCCTGGCCTCCTTCATGCCACTTGTGGGCGTGGCCGCTGGAGCTCCTGCCCCCACACCTGTGGCTCATCACACTACTCAGCACTCCTGTTCCTCATCATCGTCAACTCACCCCTCATAAGCCAGGCCGACCTTCCAGTCCCCGCTGGATTGTTGAATCATCTAGTATGAGAACATGCTAACCAACCAGAACTTTTGCGATAAAGAATTACCTGTCTCATCTCCAGACCCAGAGCACTGGAGCCCGGACCCCATACCCACTCTCTGTCTCACCTGCATCTCTGGCCACTCAATCCATGTCTGTTTGTGCATTTCAATAAAATCTCCTTATTGAGACTTCTAACTCTGGTCTGAACTTGAGTCCTTGTCACCAGCCCTGACAATAGGAACCAGATTTATTTACCTGATCTGACTCACATACTACAGCCAGGATAAGTTTCAGTAAATATGACAAAAAGTTACCTACTGCAGCTTTAAGAACATAAAACCACTGAAATATGGATGTGGCCAAAGATTTGTTTTTATATATTATATATTCTTAAAGAGCAATTCAAACCCTCTGATAAGAAAATATACCATACATTCAATTACAGTTTGGTTTTGTATGGAGTTGCAGTAATTATATTTTCAGATTAATCATTTCGTTGACAGATAGTAAAAATAAAATAGTAAACATCACCAATCATCAATCCCAGAGTCATTATTAGCTTGTTCTGCAAAGAAAACAAAGCCCAAAACATAGCTAATGTTTGGCTTTTTTGGTCTTGATAAGTGTTCACAACATAATGAAAATCTGTCTCCTCCCATCGAAGCTGATCCCTGAACGTCTGTTCAGTCCGTCAGTGCAAAGACAGAGAGGAAGATAAAGACATCATGATCAGAAAGCTCAACAGGATCACTCTGCTGCTTCTCTGGCTCTCCTGTAGGTTTCAATTCAAATTCTAAAAGTTACATTTTTTTTAAAACAATCTCTGTTTTCTTAATGTTTTCTCTTTAAATGCAGGTTGTTCACTGAGCAATAAAGTCCATCAGGCTCCATCGTCAATATTAGGAAGTCCCAATGGTTTATCAGCAATCAGCTGCAACCATTCAATCAGTTCATACTTTGTAATATTGTGGTACCAGCAGCCGATGGGGGACTCTGACCTTAAACTCATTGGATATATTTCATATGATAGTCCAACCATCGAGGATAAATTCCAAAAGCATTTCAACATAAGTGGACATGGCTCCAAAAACTCTCAACTTCATGTGCTGAAACTCAGAGATCCAGAAGACAGTGCCACGTACTTCTGTGCAGCGAATAAGCACAGTGACTCAATTTCCCTCTCCCCTTTACAAAAACCCTCTCTGATAATCAGCCACATAAAGTCACGCTGAAGAGGAGCACACCTGCATCGAACTGCAGCCTGTGGCAGGAAATCAACACTGATATCAACCTTAAAACGGTCTTTTCCTGTGTTTACCAGGAGAGCAGGATACTTTACAAATCCACTGATGAAGACATGTGACGGTCCATAAAGCAGACTCCTCCTCCTCGTCCTCTTCATCCAGGCAGCTCTCTTCAGTTTGCAGTCATTATTGTTTTCTTTTCATCTACGTTACAATCATGATCAGACTTCTTATACATTTAGCAGCTCTGCCGTTCTGTTTAACAGGTAATATGCATTAACTCCTAACTAAATATTTTCAATTAGGTTTAACTTTATTGGTCACTAAAGATGTTTGTTTTAAATGTCTCTTGCAGAACTCTCAAAAACCAGTGTTCATCAGACTCCCACTGCCATGATTAAAGATGCTGGAGAAGACATCCTGATGAACTGCAGCCATTCAAACACTGATTTTAATATGATTCAGTGGTACAAACAGTCTGCTGGGGAAAATGATATGGCTTTAATTGGTTATGTACGATTCACTTCTGCGGTTGTTGAAGATAAATTCAAAGACTCTTATAATGTGAGCGGTCATGGATCAAGTCTGGCACATCTTCATATTCCAAAGAGTCGATCCGAGAACAGCGCAGTGTATTTCTGTGCAGCCAGTAGAGCACAGTGCTACACAAACCCTCCGTCTTTAACAAAAACCTTCTCTGACGCAGCCAGTTACAGAAATTACCACTTGAACCACATTGTGAATGACTGATAGACAGCTGGTGCACCATGAGACAGGTAGATTCTTAGTTTATCCATTAGGGTGCAGTGTTTTTCCAGATCTGTTGATTCTGAATTTGATGTTGTTGAATTTAATCAATTCTATATACGTGTAGTTTATATGGTGAATATTACTAATTCAACATTTTTAACAGCAATTCAACAATTCATGGACTGAAGAGACTGTGTTTTGTTTGGTCTTTAAACAGCAGTAACATCACATAAAATGTATTTGTTATTATTAACACTGCTATTTATTACTTCCTTGAGGTGGCAGTGTGTATTTTACCCCCAGCGGTGCGTAATGGTAACTGGCATGATGGTTTTAATATTTAGAAAAGGAGGATATGACGTTGTTTTTCTGATAGGAGGACTTAATCAGAAAGGGAGGAGGGAATCATCTGTATACCAGCATAGTGAAGAAAACAGCACCAGAAACAAGACTGACTTTAAAAACACAACATGATGATCATTGTCTGCTGCATAACCTTGAATGTTATACTGGTGTCAGGTAATGAAAAGACTTTTTAGATAATTGGTATTTATCTTTGCAAAAAGATTGTTTGCCTGTAGTATGAAAGAAAGTTTCATACTACAGGCTCTGGCATGTAAACTGAATTATATAAAATGAGGTAAAAATAAGCACATGTACTTTCAGAGATTCAAAGAAACCATTGGGCTTTTAAACTAAAGAAACATTATTTTATTTCCACTTCCTCTCTAACTTTAACTGGTGTCTGGTGCTCAACTGCAATCACTGATATATTGTGTGTTGTTTCTCTTGATGGCTTTTCCACAGGTTCCTCTCTAAATGAACTAGTCTACCAGAATCCAGCCCACACTTTCAACAAACCTGAAGGAGCAGCTAAAATTGAGTGTTCACACAGTATTCAAAACTATGATACAATCCTCTGGTACAAGAAATCAAAGAACAGACAGCTGCAGTTGCTTGGATACATGGTGGGAGGCAGTGGATACCCAGAGACTGGAGTGAAGGTGAAGATAGCAGGGAGTGCAAATAAAGACCAAAACTGCACATTAACAATTGAAGAACTCCAGCTGAACAGCAGTGCAGTGTACTTCTGTGCAGCCAGATTACACAGCGCTACATATCACTGCTCCTCAGTACAAAAACCTCCACAACACATTTTGTCATCTCGCTACTACAGCTCACAGCCTCTTGCACCTGTATGCTTTCATTTTATGAGGTGGTGATATATCTTTAATCAGATCTTTATACAGAGGCAGAAGTGGTAGTTGACATGATGGTTATAATGTTAAGAGGAGGAGGATACACTTATGGCACCACCCACCTCATGCCTTCATGTTGGTTTGCTGATAGGAGGGTTTACTCAAAGAGGAGGATGGAAATAATCATAATCATCTGCCGACACACTGAGAATATCTTTTGTATCAGCAATAAAATTATTACCAAACACATAAGACAACATGATCATCTTATTCCTAAGCATTCATTTGAACACTATTCTGGTTTCAGGTAATGTTATCCTTAGTTGTTAACATCTGTTTATACTTTAGTGTTTTACAGTGCTGCTATTTTAGCTGTAACTGAATTTTATTACACTGTTGAATTTACCAGCACTCATTCTTATACACTGTGCCTTGTCTTTTCAGCAGGATCTTCTCTCAGTGACCAAGTCCATCAGACTCCAGCTGACATTTACAACATTTCAGGACAAATAGCCAAGATTGAATGTTTCCACACCAATCCAAGCTTTAACCAAATCATCTGGTACAAGAAATCAAAAAGACAACTCGAGCTACTGGGATATGTGTATGTAAATGATCCATATCCAGAGACTGGAGTGAAGGTGAAGATAGCAGGGAGTGCAAATAAAGACCAAACCTGCACATTAACAATTGAAGAACTCCAGCTGAACAGCAGTGCAGTGTACTTCTGTGCTGCTAGTTTACACAGTGCTACATATCACTGCTCCTCAGTACAAAAACCTCATCACACGTTTTCACCTCACTACTACAGCCCATAGCCTCTTGCACCTGAAATAAGTCAGTGTAACTAATGTTGGTCTTCCCTCTCTCATCCAGATCATATAGTATAATGGTAGGTTCCTTATGTGCAGCTATGAAACAGTTAACCTGCCACATCCTGTTATAAACAGCAGCCTCATATATTCAGTATCTCTGCAGTATCTCATTTTAATAAGGTCACTGCGATGTCTTAAATCTGTGTACTGTAAATAAGCATTAAAGGCCGGACGGTCCAATCATCTAAATTCAAAACTTATTCCTTTAGCTTTCTATTACTGCCAAATGAGTGAACAGATTATTTTAAATACTCAGAGTAAGACAAAGCAACAACCAAGTCAACAAGACCCAGGACCCCCACTGATAGTGCCTGTTAAACCCACCACCCACCCTGAATCTATACATTACATTAATGCTCATCCATTGGCAGTAAACCTGATTCTGATTCAGAAGTCTACCATTAAAGGTGTTTTTTGTTGTTGTTTTTTAATAGTGCAATAACTTCTTAAGAAAGAAGGAAAAGGTTAGAATGAAGTTATACAGTGTCGTCTCTATTTTAATTGCACTGCAT